GCAGATCCTACCCCATAGGAAGGACTTTGTCTTTATCTTTTACAACATAGAAACAAAACAATCAACAATATAATTTATTCAAACACAATAGAGAAAGATGTTAATCATCTTAAGCGAGATAGAACCTCCACCCCACAACAATACAACTTCTTACATCCGTGGCGGTTAAATCTCTATTAAAATGAAGACTCATCTCTTCTCCTAAACAAATCAAATCAACTACCCTAAACCCGTAGGAACTTTGACCACAGTCAAAGAACTCTTCTAACCCTTTAGGGGAACTACAGATACTCTGATTCCACTCCCGTAAGGATATGTAGGCATAAGATGCGACATCTTATCGAGTATACTTAGAAATAAACCCCTAGGTTCTTTTAAACTTTAAGCAGATAAACATAGCAATAAACAAACATAAAATAAGAGGTTCCTGTAGAGTACTACAGAAACTTAGGATGCTAGTACCTTCCCTAAGTTTAACCAACCCCCGAACCTAAACTCTCTAAACCTTGCATTTGCATTGCATTGTGGGAATTTCGATATTTATCCCTTCCTTTGGACAAATCAAAGATCGGTTGCAAATTGAATTAAAGATTTAAACTAATTAACAGTTTGGTATCAAAATTTCACCGCGACAATTGTTATTATTAACGAGTTCAACATTCTCTAATTCCTAGAGGTGTCAACTCTTGAGAGGATTAAGAAGAAACAAAACTCGTGCTGACTCATCATCTGGACAGAAGAAACAGAGCTCCAAAAAATAAGTCATTTGCTATGAATGTAATGAGCTATGTCATTACAAGAATGATCGTCTAAAGTTTAAAAACAAGAATCCAAAGAAGAACTTCACATAAATCAAGAAGGGACTCATGCCAACTTGGGACGACTCTGATTTTGAAGAAGAAGAATCTGATGAAGAACATGCAATAAGAATCTTAACTTCTCATGCTTCATCATTGTCATCAATAAGGATCTCAACTTCACCATTTACAATAAGGATCAATAAGGATCTCAACTTCACCATCAATAAGGATTTCAACTTCACCATTTATAATTTTGGTGCAATAAGGATCTCAACTTCACCATTTACAATGTTTTGAGGTTAACTCAGTTAGTTAGGTAGTTAACTCGGTAACCATGTCAATGCAAACTTGAATCTAAAGGCCCGTATGCTTGGAAATAAAGCAACATGATGGTCTAAATACAATTTAATGTATTGGAGCAATTGCCTTGAAGTGTGTAGAAATGTCTTGAAGTGTATAGAGCTGTCTAGAATATTCCACACAATGCTAGAACAATGTAGACTCAAAAAATGAGAAGTGGAAGCTCCTGTCCTGAAAATGCAGCAAATTTTGCAAATTTTGCAATCGATTTACCCATTTGCACTAGCAAATAGTTAATCGTTTAACCAGGCTAAAACTTGCCCAATTTTGCCTGAAAAATGATGTTGTGGCCATGACTCTGATTTTCAACCTCTTGCTCTGATGAATAGGTATAAAAACCTTTATTTTGTATTTGTTTTGATGATGTGATATCTTTGAGAGGATGTGATTAATCAGGATTAAAAAACTTGAAAGCTCTTGCAACAAAGATTATAGAGAAAACATGTGAATGTGTATGCCAGCGATGCAAATGCACATGCTCATGCAAAGGAAAAATAGGAGGTCAAATTTCGGGTTACGACAATACCTTGTGCATGCTGTCCCCAACTGTTTGTAACAGTCTGTAGGAAAGAGGGGTCTTGAGTAACACAGTTTAAAAATTTGAACATAGCCTTCCTTTTGGGTTGAGTTTGAGGTAGCCCCACTTTTAGAGGGGCATAGTCAGAGATATTGGGAGCTAATACCTCGATAGTGTTGTCCTAATATTTATGAAACCAATCAACATTCCTTACAAGCCTATATATTCTTGAGTAAATACACCCAATATCATGCTTGTTGAACCAAGTATAGTGATCACCTTTCGTGTTTTCCTCAAATAAACCTATAAATTGCATCATTATAGCAAGATCTATGTATTCCCTTTCAATCACATTATTCCCACCAATTCTATCCTTACTTGAATAAACATTTTTGTAATCTCCCATAACTATCCAAGGTGTGTTAATGGTATTACTCATAGCTTCAATCTCCCTCCAGAGCAGTTTTTGCTTTTCAAGCTGATTGTAGGCGTAGAGTACCGTTACCGTGTATTACAACGATTGATCCATTCCAAGAACCTTCAAAGGGATATATTGGTTTGCTGTCTTAATCACATTCACTATAGTTCCATTGTATTTATATAAGATCCAAATCCTCCCATTGTCATGATCATTATAATTGTCGACGAACTTTCAGTTTCCGCTAAACTTATTTCTAATTCTGTTAGCGTTATGTTTCTTTACTCGTGTTTCTAGTAAGGCCACTATAGGCACATTGAAAGTCGAGAGATATGAGCTGATCTCCCTGTGCCTTGCCTCCTTATTCATGCACCTAACATTCCATATGACTATCATGGAACATGATTACTGTTAGCACAAGATTTGGTTCTACAAGATATCTCTAAGTTTTGATAATAACAAAGTGGTATTTGTGTGAGAACAATTTTGATACTCTAACGTTTGCAAGATATCTTTAAGTCTTAAAGAACTTATTATTTCTTTAAGAAGTCATGAAATAGAGTTGGAGCAAGATGAACCTCAGAAGAAGAATAAACCTATTGCTCTTAAGTCTAAACCTAAAAAGGAAAAGGCTTATCAAGTTGAGGAAGAATCAGAAGATTCCGATGAAGACTCAGAATGCGTAGCAGATCATGTTTGATCTCAAAATCAGTTGTCTAATACTACAAGAAAATAGGTTTACGAAAGATAAAGTACGAGCCTTGTCCCATGATTTTCTCCTTATCCTCATTGTTCTTGAATCGTACCACAAAGTACCCTTCATCGTTGTAAAATAGTTCAGGCATTGCAGCAGAGTTCCAGCTTTTGTCCATGAATTTTTTTAAATGCATTCATGGAAAGGTTTTGTCCAAGAGCAAATATGATGACTGCATTATCCCAATATTCCATTTCTTTTGCTACATCAGTGCCATTAATAAGGATCTTGTGGCAACTTGGGACGTCTCTAATTCTGAAGAAGAAGAATCTAATGAAGAACATGCAATGAGGATCTTAACTTTTTTTGCTACACCAGTGTCATCAATCAGGATCTCAACTTCACCATTTACAATGTTTGGTGCAATGAAATCGACTGCCATTCCTTTTGATTGACTGCGATTTCCAGAGATTATTTCTACCCATGGTTTTACGTTGCTCGTTTCCTCTTTCTCCGGTATCTTTATTGTGTCATTTTCAAGTTCCTTTTTCACAGTCGGTTCTATTGTCTGGTTTAAGAAATATGTTTCTTGGTGTTGTACGCTTCCATCTTTAATATATTGTTCAGGTTCCACAATCGCATGTGTGATGATTGTTCTCCCAACTGTTCCCTGACGCGCCAAATGGGTAATAATGTTTAAGCCTAAGGTAACAAAGAGCCAAATACCAATTATATCAATAACACTCATTAATCTATCAATTTTTTGGATTTAAAAAAATATCATCAATATTGTTTTAAGTAAAAAAAAGTCCTTTATATTAATTTATTATTCATTAATAATTTAAAGTTTATTTACTTTAACTACAAAATAAATATGTATTTTTTGTCAAATAATAACCGAAAAATCACCCAATAAAATGTTGCAAATTTGAATCCACAAACTTTTATATATATATATATATATATATATATATATATATATATATATATATTTATATATATATATATATATATATATATATATATATATATATATATATATATATATATATATATATATATATATATATATATATATATATTTATTGGGAAAGTGGATGAATTGAATGAAAAATTATAATTAATAGTATTATAATTATAATATTGATAGTGAAATATTAAATATAAGTTGAATTGAAGGGTTGAAATCTAATTAATTAATTTTAAATAATAATTTTAATAAATAAGTCCCACATCGTAAGTTTTGTAAAATAGATAGAGCTATAAAAGGTAGGCTATAACCTAAAAGCTAATTGTAGTTTCTTAGAAGGTAGGCTATTCGGAGACGGACATTAAAAATGATAATAATTGAAATTGTACAAAAAAAAGTTTAGAGACTAAAAATATCCATTTCTAAATAAAAAATAATTTTTACAAAATTTATTATGTGCCTCCAAACCTCATTAATTTAAATTAAATTTTAGTCAACACATTTTTATTTTAATTAAATAAATAGATATCAGATTAAGTATATTTTCTAATATTTGAAAATTGTTTAACTTTTTTGAAATTATCTCACACAATTGAAAATAAGTATTTTATTAATGTTTTTTGTTTTGATGATATAAATTTTGTATAATTGTGTTTTAGATGCATAAATTTAAAAGAGTTATATAGAATATATTTATTTCAATGTTTAATGTTAAGGATATATATATATATATATATATATATATATATATATATATATATATATATATATATATATATATATATATATATATATATATATATATATATATATATATATATATATATATATATATATATATATATATATATATATATATATATATATATATATATATATATATATATATAAAAGATTTAATTAATTTCTAGAAAATATTTCTAACTTATTTATTTATTGAAAATTTAAATAATAATTTTACTAAATAAGTCCCACATCGTAAAAGTTATATAGAATACATTTATTTCAATGTTTAATGTTACATAGATATATATTATGAATTAATTAATTTCTAGAATAATATTTTTAACTTATTTATTTATTGAAAATTTAAATAATAATTTTAATAATAAGTTCCACATCGTATATTTTATAAAATTGATAGAGAAAGATGGATATAAAAGATAGGCTATAACCTAAAAGTAGGTTCTAATTTCAAATTAACCTAAAAGTAGTTTGTAATTTGAAATTCTTCGAGTGCAATGTCACGGCGGCCTAGGGTTGGCATTGAGCAAAAAGAGGACAGATTAAGCGGTTTACCGGACTCACTTATCGATCACATTCTCTCCTTCCTTCCGACTAAAGACGCGGTGGCCACAAGCATCCTTTCAAAACATTGGAAACCATTCTGGCGTTCACAACAACAAACCCTTTACTTCGATGACACATCCTTTCCAGACACTTTCGCTTTTCGCCAATTCTTCAAATCCTTCATGAATATGCGAGATTATTCCCTACCCATCCTCTCATTCCACCTTATATGTCACTCCCTCTCCTACGACGATTTCCACCGTTTTGCTTTTGACGCAATTATGAATGAAGTTGAAAACCTAATTATCGATTTCCGCCTCCCAACCATATTGCCTCCTTTAGTCCTAACTAACGTGGACTTGTCGGTCCTCAAATTGAAGAGAGTGACATTGGACAAAGTTCCATATGTTAAACTTCCTTTTCTCAAAGTCCTTCACTTGGAATCGGTCACTTTCACTTGTAATGAATATCTCAAATCACTTCTACGTGGCTGTCCACTTCTAGAGGAATTGGAAACAAAGGATTTAAGAGTAGAGAACCCTGCTATAATGTCTCGTACAGAGATTTCAGCCATAGACAATTTGATCAGAGCTAACATTTCCGATTATCTTATTGACTTTGATTGGCTTCATAATGTGGAGCATCTCCACCTACATCTGGTATGTATCAATATCTCTCACTTATCCAAATTTATCGCTTTAATTCTTCCATACTAACATCTTTCTTGCTCAATGCAGAACAGGACCCCACATGGTGTTTACGGCCACATGTTTCACAATTTAACACACCTCGACCTTATATTCAATTTTGACCGTGATGAACAATTCGCGGTTTTCAGGTGGAAATGGCTTATAGAACTTCTTCAAAATACCCCCATCCTTCAAACTCTTATCATTCATGAAGTCTCTAAGGTTACTACCATTTCCCCCTCTCCTTTTATTATTATTATTATGTTTTTCTACTTCTATATTTAAAAATCTTCAATTGTTTATCATTCAGGTTGATGTACTACACTGTCTTAAAGAGTGGGAGTGGGGGTGGGAGTGGGGGTGGGAGTTGGAGTGGGAGGACCCAAAAATTGTTCCAGCATGCCTTTTATCACATCTTACAACATGCTACCACAGCACCATGAATTGTGAGCTTGGATTTGCAAAATATATAATGCAGAATTCAAGACTACTAAGCACCATGACTATTCAGAGCGACAAACTCTTAGACACAAATGCAAAGCTTCAAATGTTAAGAGATTTATCTTCCTGCCCAATGATTTCACCCACATGTAAACTTTTATTTGTTTGAATGATTTCAGTCACATGTAAACTTTTATTTATTTCAATGATTACTTGAAACTCTAAACTTGTCACAAACTTACTATTAACGACTTTCTGCTTTACAAATTTATTCTTAATCTTCTTGCAATGTTTATTCTTGTACAGTAAACATATCCTTTATTTTTTATGATTTATGCAAAATCCTGTTATAATTTCTACTTACTTTGTGGCTTAAAAGAATTTATATGTATGCATATGTATATGTGTTCTCTACTGTTTTTATTATTCTCACAGTCCCTGCTGAATACTTGCGTGCTCTTTATAGGCATTGCTTGCTTTGTGTTTTGATGAGTTAGTCTCCTCCAATTAAGAATGCCTCGAGTTCTCGGCAGAAGCCAATCATGTCACCAAAAACATCTTTCCAGGTATATAATGGGAATAGAGTAACTTATTGATTATGATTTATGTGCATTCAAGTTGACAACATCACTGTCAATTTAGCACAGCCGACTTTTTGCTTGTAATGAAAATTACAACCGATAAGATGCACGGGACAAGCTGATAAGTGACTTACAGAAGTTGATTAAAGTTTTTGCATCTCTTGATGCACAATAAAACTTGTAAGCATGTTTCTATCCGATATGCAAGGCAAAAGATATAATTGTATACCTTTTATGAAAAGAAAAACCGACTATGTGTTTACCTCTTGTCTTCTTACATGTTGTGAAGTTGGAGGGTTTTGTTATGAACTTCATCACAACTCTTGGTTGCATGCACCTTTAGTAATTTGATTTTTATGTACAGGTTTTTGCTTCAGAGGATGATCAGTTTGCATTGACAATTGATCTCGATGAACTGATAGACTCTGAAGACAGTGGAGGGATAAGTGGAGACGAGGAGGATATTTTTAGAAATCTTCTTTCATAGCTGGATCTCGTTTAACTTATAGAGACAATCCTTCACACCCACATGTTACTTTAAGAGAGACACTTTTAATGGATGCTGGGTTTCTGACTGGACTTCGAGTTTATCTTGATGACCCTGCAAAAGTTAAACCTTTGCTTCTGCCTACGAAGCTCGCTGGTATTATTGATGGGAGTTGAAGTCTTACCGCAAAAAATTATTGATTTACTATTGGATATAATGGCTGAGGGTTGCCAGCCTTCTGAAGTTGGCCCTGTTGCTGATTCTGTTGATGAATGCTCAAAGCGTTTCTCAGACAGCAGTGGAGCTGCTAGGCCTTTTGAACGTGATAATGATGATAGAGTGGAGTCTGCGCATGTTCTTGCTAATGAGAGATTGGATTCTGCGCATGTTCTTGTTAATGAGAGATTGGATTCTGCTGTCGAAGAAAGCAGTAGTGCATCTTCTGTACAGAGCTTTGATTTAAATGTGAATGGTATTCAGGAAAAAGCTCTTCCTGGACAACTCTACTTGTCCACCAGAAACGTGTGCCACTGTTTCAGAAAATGCGTCATTTTGGTCAAAGGTACAACTTTGTATTCATGACATTAAATTTTGGTCAAAGGTACAACTTTGTATTTATGACATTTCTGATTTTGTTATAACCCGAATAAGGCAAATCAGAACAGTCGCTATACATCTCCTAAGGGTTTAAAATGTCTAAACCGAGTGAGACGATAAAATTAGTATGGACTTCTCATCCCATATTCTAGAAAAAAGCGTAGCGCACTTACCTTTATGGTATACCAAAGTCATGTTACAACATTTAACTTATTAATGAATTTGACGGTTACACAAACGTTACGGATTGAATAGCCATTAAACCTCTTAAATAAATAGATCAAAGTATATAAAAAGAGTGGGAGAAAGATGATAATGAGAGAGAAGAAATGAATAAGAGAAAATGTAGCTAACCTAATAACAACCTTGGTCCTTTGGTGACCATCAACCATATTCCAATCATAGACATTTCAACCCTATATTTATGGCATTCTCTAACTAGAATCAGGGATGTTAAACATTTGATATTATATTAACAAGAACAAGACTTGGGCTGAGGAGACTTGACATTATGAATAAAATTTGCATGTTAAAATCGGGGTGGAAGCTTCAATCCGAGTGAGAGTTGTGGGGCGAGGTGCTTTGGGGAAAATGTCGTTGTAGTGAAAAGCTCGGGATCAGATTAGTTTGAAGCCTACAGATTTAAGTCTCTCAAAAAGAATTGTTAAGTTGTGGCCTAAGCTTAACTAGAATTGTTTTTGGTCTATTGATGATAGTAAGACACGCGTCGGGAATAAGGATCACGGATTTGAATATCCAAATCCCATATGTGATTCAGCATGCCTTTGAATTGGCCCTTATTGGTGGAATGGCTCATTGAGCATGTTTTGAAATTGGATTTTCATATAGCAAACACGAATTCTCTGTGTCGAATATGTGCATGTTGCTTGCTGATTGTTTTCCTGTACTATGTTTATGATTTGACTTATGCCTAGTCGAGCTGGTTATATTTTTTGTAAGTATGGCTTGCATTTTTTTTTAATAATGAGAATAATAGGAAATGAAGAAATCTTTGGTTTTAGTCAATTTATAGAAACATCTAATTATATTTCTACTTCACGTGTGAGCATCTGGATAAAAGTGCACTCACAATTCTCAATGATTTTCTTTCAGCTATTTCATACTTTAACATCTTATTTATGCCATCAACGTTTAGAAATGTTTTGATGATCTCAAGCATCCGCAAATGATAATTTTACATATAATCGAGACTTTGAAGACGGTATTCAAAATAACCTGGATAATATTAGAGACACTGAATGTATGAATTTCATACAAGATTTAAGCACCGGTCTTCCTTATCTTATCTACAAGTAATTGACTCACAAATACTTTCATTCTTAATTTGTTTGATAAGGGCTCTTAATTTGTTTGATAAGGGCTTTTTTTTACCACATTATACAGCTATGCTTTAGTTTGAAGAATGTATATCATACATTTTTGTTCAATTATATCAAGTCTAAGTGTGTTGTGGAGTGTGTTCTTCATTATCTCAAAGACTAGACTCTTTGGCAACTGGTTATGAGACAAACATTAATTTATGTGAATTGGGCATTCATAATGGTGCTTTGCCTATTTTGGAGGAAGTCATATTTCCAACTAGGATGTCATCTTACCAATATATACTTTTTATCTTGTTATTAGTCTAATTGTCAACACATAATTATGTAAATATTTATGAAGAAAGAAAAGTATGGTGATATGTATTTATAGCAAAACCACTATAACCATAGTGAAGAGAATTAAAATCAAAATTAACTTAGAAAACAATTAACATAGTTTTAAATTATGTATGCCCTTTCATTCACTAAAGTGATTATTATATGAAAATGCAATTTATTACATAGAAGAGAAAATTATACATGTTCCGATGAAAATTTTGATTAGTCCTCATCAAAGCAGTTTTATTTTTAATAAGGGTACCTTCGATGATATCATTTGTTATGCACTTTATACACTCGTTTAGGGCAAAAACGATTCTATTGCCTTTAAAATTGACTTAGAAAATGTATACGATTGGCTTAACCAAGACTTCTTGAAGCTCACCACCCTTAATGAATTTGGTTTCAGATAGTTATATCTTTATCATGAGCGAAGTTCATGATAACAATTTGGTTGTACTTTGAAATTGTGTAATAACTAAACATTTTATTCCTCTCAAGGTGATGTTTGTTTACGAAAAAATTCTCGCTAATTATTTTGGAGAAGTTCTTAATGCATCTTATATCTTATTTAAATATTATGTGAATATTCTTAAATGGCTCCGGAATTTGAAGATGCATATCTATACACATTAAATTCTGACTTAACGTTAAAATATTCTAGAGATGTATCTTCAAACGGATTTCGAAGATGCATTTTCAAAATGTATTGAAGCTTAAATCGTGTCAAAACCTTTCTCCTTTCTCATTTTTAAAAAAACTAAAAAATTTATCAAACTCTCAAAAAAATTCAATCAAACAATCAAGCTTAAAGGATCTTCAATCAACATCAAGGACATCATCCAACACTGAAACAAAATTCAAATTTGTAAGTTTTTTTAGTTTTTGTATAAAAAAGATAATTTAGGTAAGAAATGAGTAAGAAATGGAAGAATGTTAGTTTATATACATATGTAAAACATGTTTGTTGGCTAAAAATGATGATCGTACTCAAGTTTCTAAAATCTTCCAAAAGTTCCCATTCTCTCATCATCAAGGTGGACATATGTAACAACTTCCGACTCAAAGCATCGGCCACCACATTTGCCTTATCCGGATGGTAATTCAAACCAAAATCATAATCCTTCAAAAACTCTAATCACCTTCTTTATCTCATGTTCAATTTCTTCTGATCAAATAAATATTTCAAACTCTTGTGATCACTAAAAACTTTAAATCTTGCACCATAAAGATAGTGCCTCCAAATTTTTAAAACAAACACCACAGCCGCTAATTCCAAGTCATGCGTAGGATAATTCTTTTCATGCATTCTCAATTGTCTTGAAGCATACGCCACAACTTTTCCATCTTGCATCAAAACACCACCCAAACCAGTCAATGAAGCATCACAATAAACCACAAATGGTTCTGTCGGATTCGAAAAAATCAAGATTGGCGTCGTCGTCAACCTTCTTTTCAGCTTAATGAAACTCTTTTCACAATCAATATCCCAAATGAAAGTATTTCCTTTACAAGTCAATTGCGTTAACGGAAGTGCCAACTTCAAAAATCCCTCAATAAACCTCCGATAATAACTCGCTAAGCCCAAAAAGCTTCGAATTTCTGTAATTGATCTAGGAGTCTCCCATTGCATCACCGCATCAATCTTAGATGGATCAACACCGATACCACTACCGAAAATAACATGACCAAGAAAACTCACTTCCGACAACCAAAATTCACATTTCGACAACTTAGCATATAATTGTTTCTCTTTCAAAATTTGTAACACAATCCTCAAATGCTCTTCATGCTCCTCTTGAGACTTAGAGTAAATCAAAATATCGTCAATGAACACAACCAC